AAGCCGCACCGCTTGATGGATTGTTGGAGCATTACGGCTACTGTAGTCAGGAGCCTCGTGGAGTGATACGCATGGGCTTCAATGTAATATTACCGTATTGTGTGCGTAAGGACCACAAATGGCACTTATTAAGAGACATGGTTACAAAGAGGATTTCAAACTCAGTCACGCAGTAGAACTTGGGAACAGAGCAGCTGCAAATCTGTCTTTGTTATTATGCTCAGTGTCTTTTTAGTTTACATCTTGACTGCACAATTGTGAGCATTTTGTTATGCACAAAAACAACATTGTTTTATTTTATTTATGGAGCATTATTATTTAATAAAAAAATGATCATTTATTTCGGAGTAATTCTTTTTATTTACATCTACGCTGTACGTTAATAAAAGTGCCTGTGTGAGATCTGGGACACAGCTTTGACTAAAAACTCTCTTTTTGTTCTTACTTTATGGTTTTAAAAAATATTGAGATATATATCGTATATCACCATCCAGCTAAAGAATATCGAGATATGAATTTTGGGCCAGCCCTACCTCTAGTGTTGTTCACCGAATCCCCATTGCATTACTGATGAAGGCTCTTATTGTCCTGTGGATCTTATGCAGTTCATAGGCAGGTTATTGGTCGGGAGTTGGATGGAACTGGTCCCTTCTGTGTGTCTCTCATAAACTAGCAGCTGGTTCATTTGTGCTCCCAGTGGCTCATGGAGTACCGTCAGCTTCTTCAGCCAGTAGTCATGAATCATGTCAGGGTCTAATGCTGTCCAACTTTTCATACCCTTTCTTGGATGTCTGCCACTGTGGTCCCTACTGGACTATTCAGGGAGTTTACTGTGGTCTCTTAGATTCACTAGCCACTGTGGATTGTCATTATAGATTGGGTCCTTCTCCCATATGCTCTTCCAGTATTGCTCCGTCTCCAGCCTTGGTGGTGCTGTTCTCATATTGTTCCCTGCCACTGAGAGTACACCTTAGATTGTTCTGTGGAGTCGACCTGGTTTCTCCCCTTGCCTTCTAGCTCTCTAGTGTACCTCTTCAAGTGGCTGGACAAGGCTGTGAGTCTTTCCTTGGCAGTTTCCAAGGACTCTGTACTTCTTAGGTACCTTTTCTTTATTACACCTTTCTGTAGCTTCAAAAGTTTGCTAACTTCTCTCCATGCTACCTTGATCTTGGCCTCTAGTCTCCTTCTCCATGGAGGAAACAGCTCCATGTGGCTTTTCATCTTGTAACCAAGCATCTTACAGACCACTGCTACCGTGGTGTTGATTAGCTGCTTGGATGGTCGCAGTTGGTATCGTCCTTAGTGCTGTGTTTACATCTTCTAGTAAATCTTCAGAGGGTACTTCACGTTTTACCAGAAGGTAAAAGTAATGATTGAAAAAGAGGGTTCGTTTAATTTGAGGTTGTTGTCTGTTGCTTCCTTGGTGTGCTCCCGCTTTGGTAAGTCAGAGAATTTCATTTGTACAGATGAGAACTCACAAGTTAGGGTTTGAATTTCAACCAAAACCAGGACCCACTCGGAGAAAACAAAACCAATTGTTGTTCACAAGCAGACAAATAGAATATGGATCTTATTTCATCCTAAATAAACTTTTTTTTAATCCCACAAAGATCACTCTCCATCAGCTGTGGCTTTAAGAGATTACATGCAGTAATGTCTGCATGTATAATTTTGGTATTCCTTCATTCTGTTTGTCCTGACAGCTACGGGAAGAGACGAAACACAGATCATTACCTACTGAAGCATATTCTCAGCCTACAAAGATAAATATTTTGCACTGTGATCCATAAAGTAGCCACATTGTCTGCTCCTCCGCACTTTATGGATCCTGATGATCAGGTTACAATTTTTGTAAGGCAATCCAAGGCTAAAATTATATTTTAATGACTGACTATTTAAAAAATGTATTGGCTAACAACCACATTTGACTCTCTGGTATGTGTTGTTGCTTTTCCCCTTTGTTACACATTTCAGCCAAGAATTCAGAGTGATGAGAACAAATCTGTATTTGTATATGCATCTGACAGATTGGACGATTTTGCTTGTTGACACTCTCCCTCTTTAGAGACTGTGTGTTTAATGTGTGTTTAACCCTACAGACTTACAGCAGTTGGAATAATGGTCACCAGTCTGGCATTTGTTCTTCTCTTCTCCAATATAATATAAATAACATAATAATAGAAATATTTTGGGTAATAACTATTAAATCTTCTACTTCTGCTGAGTGAACAGCATTTTAAATAAATTGTGTAGTGTCCATCATAGTACAGAATACAGCATTCAGGAGCAGAGAACAAACTCAGACTGCTGCATTGACCCTCGTGGACACGGATCACCTGTTCTACCGAGTGAGCTAATTTAGCACCCTAGAATTTTGTCATGTACTCTGCCGTTGCCTGTGTAAAGGTCTCCCCAGTTGGGGGACAGACTTAGGAGTCTTAAATTAGACTTTTCAGATGCCTGCGTAACAAATTGTTACTTTGGTGTTTCAGAGTGTAAAGACTTCAGGTGACCTAACCGGGGTGGGAAACCATTTACAGACCCACATGCTGTTGAAAAATAGAGATCCAAATCCCATCCCTGTTCATACAATGAAGTGCACAGTTATGCACCTCTAACCACTACTTCCACCACCCATTGAGTCACACCTTAGCCAAGTCTATTTATATTTCACTGCAACCAGGCCGTGTTAATCACAGATGAGCAAAGTCAAAGAAGTCAAAAGTAAAAATAGAATTTCAGGATTAAGCTCCAACATTTAGTTAAAGTTTAATCAAGTTATTTTTTTAACTGTGCTAAATAACGATATTTGTATATGGACCATTTAATGGCATGTGTTCCTAAACTTACCTTCTCCCCTGCGTGTCCTTTTAAGCCCTGGGATCAGACACAGCAGACACAGTCACATGCAAGTAGGTGTGTAGAGGGGGGAGAGACACAAGAAGGGAGAGAGAGAGCGAGAGAGAGAGGGAGAGGAACCAGTGTTAGATACATGGAGAGGGCTCGGGACATGCAGCATCTTTAGGACTAGTGACGGAGGTGGTGATGGTGAAAGAGCTAAAGGGAACTACTGTATATGTAAATCAAATGGAGGAAGGTGATATATATGGCTTTCCTGAGAACAGGAAGGGTAATTAACACTGCCCCAAAATCACTGTCTGCCCTCTTCCACCCCTGGAAGCCATCGCCAGCTCCCCTCTCAGGAAAACAGGAGCATCACAGGTGAGCACTACACCGCGCCCACCACCTGTTTGACCCGCTGCCCTCGGGTTTGTGAGTTTGGAGGTCCCACACCTCCAAACTCACAAACAGCCTCTTGACAGGCCTTTCTCTTATTTCTGCATGAATTTGTCTTGTTTTGCATTTATCCCCATTGACTGTATATATTACTCCTGTTTGCTAATTATTCCAACTGTTTATATCAACTATTTATATCTTATTCTGGCACAGTTGGTATGAAGCACCCACAATAATTTCATTGTTCATGTACTACGACAATAACGGGCTGTTGTATTTTGTGTGTGTATATACACTTAGTTTTTTCCATTTTGTATTATTTTCCAGGGTGAAGTGATTGCACAGCTTGCATTCAAAGTAATGTAATACATTCCATCACTGTCTGCTTTCCCTGTCAAATCTACAAATAAACAATCTCAGACAGCGCTGTCATAAAACTCCTGTCAATGTGCATCCATCCTTTACATTACTGCCTTGAGGCTGCTGTTGGCTACTATCATGTAGTATTTCTGCTAAATCATATCATTTCTGCTACATTATAGTATTGCTGCTACTATGCTACTTTTCTACTAAGTTATACTATTATATTATTGTGTATTAAGTTATAATTTGCACTGAAAGCTTATTTCATCTCATAGCAAAGTGTAGTTGTCTCTGTCACTGATGGTTTGTCCATCTCCCGTTAAAAGCGACTGGAGCTGGGCAAGCTGAGAGACCAGCAGTTGGTTTCTGGTGGTTTGCAAATGTGGATAAACCTCTGGCCTTTAATGGTGACATGAGGGGAGAACACAGTGGTCTGCTTTCACTGTTCTGACATCAGTTAGTAGCCAGGAGTCGTATGGAAACACAGCTAGCATTAGGAAGCAAACCAGCTTCAGTGATTTAGCTTGGTAACAGATGAGTGTCCTCTTGTTAATTACCTTGGCCAACATGTGTGATAAAGAGAGGATGGAGCGTGAAAAAGTTATTTAACTCCTTTATTATATAAGCAAGTAAACTTTTGACCATGATGGAGAGGGGACAGCAACTCTGACCATTCTAATAAAAGTCTAATAACTCATGCAAGTTGAGCAAGTGCAGGGTCAGATTAGCATCTATGAGAATGACTGAATGTGATGGGCTTAACCAGCTGTTTGCCAACACGCCACTTTCACTTTTTTACTCATATTTGAATCCCCCTGTTAACTCTGTCACACACTATTCAACCATTTTAATTCAGCTGATTGATTTATCTTACTTTTGATTGACTTTTTGAAAAATCAGGATGCAGACCTGTGTTTCTGATCTTACGAACAACTTTTCATAGATATGTGGTCGTCACAGAACACCCACTGCACCATTTATAGAATATGATGGTGACCATTAAACAGAATGAGTTCAACCTTAAATATATGCTGTAAAGTGAATCCAGCTAACAATGATGGGAAACAGTTTTCTGCATAATAATTATTTTTACTTTTGATATTTTCTGCACAGTTTTTCAATAATGCGGTGCAAGAACACAGGGCTGTTGGAAAGCTATCACGCAAGCAATCTAACTCAGCTCTGACTTTGGATGCCCATGTAAAATCTCTGGTTCGCTCCTGTTTTTTTCACTTGAGAAACATTGCTAAGTTGAGTCCCATTGTATCGCGCTCCGAATTAGAAATTGTCATTCATGCATTTGTTTCATCTCGTCTGGACTATTGTAATTCTTTGTTTACTTGTTTATGTAAAGCCTCTTTGGAGCGTCTGCAAGTTGTTCAGAATGCTGCTGCAAAGCTTCTGACCAACTCCTCCAAGTTTTCCCATGTCACACCCCTGCTGATCCAGCTGCACTGGCTCCCAGTTAAATTCAGAATCCAGTTTAAGGTTTTGACCTTGACTTTCAGGGCTCTGCATGGACAAGCACCAACATATATAAGTGAACTTTTACATCCATACATTCCCAGCAGGTCCCTGAGGTCATGTGACCAGGGCTTGCTTGCTGTCCAGCACACGAGGCTGAAAACAAAAGGCGACAAATAACTGTGGCCCCCAGATTGTGGAACTCTCTCCCTTTGAGCCTGAGATGTGTGGACTCAGTGGTCACTTTTAAAAAACAGCTAAAAACCCATCTTTTTAAACTTGCTTTTGGTTGATTTTTATTTTTAGGTTTTAGCTTCTGTGAAGCACTTTGTGATTTTTATCTTGAAAGGTGCTATATAAATAAAGTTTTACTTTACTATGGAATTCTCCACACCCAACGTCTCGACTAATGGCAAAACTAGTTTCTCAGTGTTCCAACATCTGGAAGAAACAACTGCTATCACAACTTGAAATTGATGAGGTAAAACAGCAACAGGGAGGCAGAACCTGAGGTCAGGGGAGATATCATCATCCCCACACTCTAAGATTGGGTACCAAACTCAGTGAGAATGCATGAGCAGCTAATCTGAGAGATGGGATCATGGCTGAGCTTGAAACCTGGACCTTCCATGGTTGATTACCAAGACTACATGAAGTCCCCTCTGAACGTTTCCTCAAAGATGTGAATACAGCATTACGGAAAATCCCTCCTTCGACTATTATGGTAACCAAACAGCTAATCAACACCACGACAGCAGTGATGACTGAGATGCTTAGCTATAAGACAAACAGCCGCAAGGAGCCGTACCCTCCATGGAGAAGGAGACTAGAGGCCAAGCTCAAGGCAGCACGGAGTTAAGTTAGTGTGTTTTCATTACGCTATCAGTACTCCTATTTAGACAAAGGATTTGAATGTTTCTTCCACCCTGGGTGGCTTGTAATTCAAAATCCTAGCAAAGGAACTTCAAGAACGCTTTGTTATCACAGTACTGATCATTTACTTCTGTATTAATGCATACTGTTCAAAATAACTGTAATCTAATCCTGTAACATTCATCCTTTTGCATTTGTGTTGTAAGAGCTTTTGAATGTAACTATCACTAGTGCTGGTGATGCATGAACCCAATTCACTCACCATTCTCCCAGGAATTCCCATACTTCCTTTGCCACCCTAATGTCCAATGCAAATTAAGAAGGAACAGGAGTCAATCAGATGTTCTATAGGGATACCATGGCATTCAGACTTATCGTCTCTGCAACTCTCTCATTTGCAAGGAACTACTCTAATCTCATTTTTTCACTGATGCGTTATAGAAACAACGGTTGGTTCATGTTAGTGAGACGAATGTTAGCACATTTATATCCTAATGGAAGCCAAAACTAGAGAAGAGAATAAAAAATTTAAAAGAGCTTAAATGCTTTGTTCTGACATCAGTTAGTAGCCAGGAGTCGTATGGAAACACAGCTAGCATTACTGCTACAAAAGCTTTTAAAGTTTTTAATGTCATGGTATTCCTTTAAGGAAGATGATCATTTTTGTTATTCAGAATAACCAATTCAACATGCCATGCCCAAATTATGGGAGCAGAAAGAAGATCACTGTGAAAAACAATCACATAATTATCAAATAATCATGCCTCATTCAACACTGCAAAGTTCAAGATGAAAGACGATGGAAGAAAGTTGCAGTAATTTCTTATGTCATTAGAAGAAAGTTATTAGTAGCCCTGTTACTTTGTTACACTTTTCCATCTTATATCTCCAGACAGTGTTACGGTAAGGGCAGCGGGTTGAAAACCACCTGAGATAGGAAGTCATGATTGGGTGATTAGCCAGGTTTTAGCTTCAGATCAGGGCTTTGATTTCTAAATCTATTTTTACATGTGTATAGTATAAAGTCTGATTGTTCCAAGATGATAGTGTAGTTTATATTTACTAAATGTTCATCCAATGACATAAAGATACACTGTTGCCTTTTGCAGTCTAACGTAGGTGTTTGGGTTTTTTTAATTTACCCAACGTTAACAAAAAAAAAAAATGTTTCTCTGACTTAGTTGTGAGCTGACAGCATGATTCTGCAACTATTCAATGCAATAATGCTTGTTAATAATTCCTGTTCAAGGTCCCGATTTAAATCAGGGCTTTGGGGAGAATCTGGCACCGCCAAAACTGAATTTAGTTTAATCTGGACCTGGAGTCTTTAAAGTGCCCAACATGATTATTTGCTGGAACCACAGAGTACAACATTCATTATAGTAAAGTGAGGTGAATTGGGTGTTTGGTAAAATCTCATCCAATTCTTATTCTTATTCTTATTTTTATTTTCATGTCTATTTAAGCGTAATTTATGACAGTATGTTTGCACTGAAGCACCGCAGCAATTTCCTAATGTTGTAAACCTGCTCAACATTTGGCAATAAAACCCTTTCGGCGATCGTGGCTCAAGAGTTGGGAGTTCGCCTTGTAATCGGAAGGTTGCTGGTTCGAGCCCCGGCTCGGACAGTCTCGGTCGTTGTGTCCTTGGGCAAGACACTTCACCCGTTGCCTACTGGTGGTGGTCAGAGGGCCCGGTGGCGCCAGTGTCCAGCAGCCTCGCCTCTGTCAGTGCGCCCCAGGGTGGCTGTGGCTACAATGTAGCTGCCATCACCAGTGTGTGAATGTGTGTGTGACTGGATATGTAAAGCGCTTTGGGGTCCTTAGGGACTAGTAAAGCGCTATATAAATACAGGCCATTTACCATTTCTGATACTGAATTCATTTTTTGAAAAGAGGGAAATGTGATTGCTGCAACGGTCATGTACACCCTGTTTCTGCCTTTCCTAGTCAGCTACATACACACTCACACTTGCATATATACTAACAGAAAAAATATGCTTGCATGTACATACTTCCATATGTGTATGACACATTAAAACTAAGCTTTGCGCTGGAGAATGGACATTTTAATCAAAAAGACCAAGAGCTGGACAGGTGCGCAATCACAGCACACAGTGTTACAAATGGATACTGTTAGGGTGTGTGTGCTATTCAACTGCTGTACTGACATCTCAGAAACTTTTCATCATATAAGTGATAAAAACTGCAAAGTTCACTGCAATAGTACATCTATACTGGTGTATTTGTATTCCAGGTTCTGTAAGGATGTGCACAAGTTGGTAGTCTAACCTTTTCAAATCCTGATTTCTGGGAAACAGTCCTTTAAAGACTATTTAAAGACTATTAAGATAACGGTGTGTTATTATCTTGATTTTCATTAAAGTTTCATTAAACTGTGACAAAATCAACAAGCAACAACAAGTAGTAATTTGCACATTTCATTCTGAACTAGCAGCTGAGATGTTAATACTCCACCACTCGCACATCAATACTATGCATGAGGACACACAAAGGGACAGGTTAAAACAAAAGTTACCGGAAAGCCTGCTCGTCCAGGAGGACCCTGAAAAAGCACGAGACAAAATTAGTATGACAAGAAGAGTACATTTTACAGACAAAATTAACATAAAGAAAGACACCTGCACTTAATCAGGCCAGAATAAACTGGAGGGGCTGTTTACTACCTTACGGCAAGGGAATCGTTTATTTTGGCCTGTTCACTGACAGCACAAAGTATCCTGCTGATGCACTAACATCACAACATTCAATGAATTTAAAAAAAAAAAGTTTAACTGTTTGAACATAAGTTTTAATGTAAAACAACAGTTTTCACCACATAGCCTCATGCAAGGGTTGTTTTTGGAAGAACTTATAGTTTTCATGCTTCTGCAAAACAAAACCCTCTGAGATCTCCTTAACTGCCCTTGCTCATCTTGTTATTCAGCTAATCCAAGCTACAATGGAGGTTTCCAGCATAGTGACTTCCATTAAAAACAAATCACAAAACACAAGGAACTAGAATACAATGGCTTTTATTTATTTTATTGGGCTGGGACTAAGAACAAGAGGGAGCAAATTTTAAAAAAGTCAAGTGTGTTTTGCTTTCACAAAGGGAACGGAACTCAAATCAAGGCTTTTGAACAGCTCCAATAAAGAAAGAATACAAAACAAATTAGCTGGAAGTCAAAAGTGGAACATTTTTTCTGTGTGACAAACAAGAGGACAGGAGACGCTGTTCCCCTCACATTAGTAACTCTGGATGGAAGAACACTTGTTGGATTTGATAATTGATTTGAAAGACCAGTTTGCATTAGGAATTTTAAGTGGCTTAAATATTGAGAGCAAAAAGTATCATCTATCATCAGCTATCGCCGGTTCGATCCCCAGCTCTGTCTGTCTTGGTCGTTGTGTCCTTGGGCAAGACACTTCACCTGTTGCCTACTGATGATGGCCAGAGGGGCCGATGGCGCGATATGGCAGCCTCGCCTCTGTCAGTCTGCCCCAGGGCAGCTGTGGCTACAACTGTAGCTGCCTCCACCAGTGTGTGAATGTGAGAGTGAATGAATAGTGGAAATGTAAAGCGCTTTGAGGGTCTCAAAAAGCGCAATATAAATGCAATCCATTATTATTATTGTTAAGCGAAGCAAAACTGTCAAAAAAGTCAAACTTTACTCAACTCATTCTCCTTGCTTCCTCTACGTCCATACCATTGATTCTTAAATGTTGAATTCTCTGGCAGCTGCTCTATTCTCATGTTCTGGACCTGAAAACAGGGTTTGATCTTTGCTTTCATCCTATAATACTGGACTTTTCTACAAAGGTTTCAACTTTTAGAGTGTTTAAACAAGAGATAAAAGTGTGAAAATGTTTTTGCCTGTAGTGAGGGGTTTTACAGCCTTAAAACATCTATAATAATTGTAAAAAATAAAGTTGTCTACTTCGCAGATTTCCCCTGTCACGGGTTATTTTTAGAACGTAACTCCCACGATAAATGAGGGAACACTGTATACCACTACAAGTCTCTCATGGGTTCCTTAAATATTGGGACATGAAACATGCTTTTTCTTAAAAAGCAATTAGTCCCATTAGGGCCTTCAGAGTATTATTATCCAATCACTGTGAGTTTAGAGAGTGTAATTAAAAGCCCTATAAAACACAATTAATGTGGAAAAACACCATTAAAGAGTCAGAAACAAAACAATCTGTTGCTAGTCCAAAATCAACAGGGTTGAACAGAACAATACTAATCATGAAATGACCAAACTGAAATGATACAATACTAAAGTCCTTTCATTTTTCGTATGAGGAAGCTGATACAGATATTGTCGAGAGTGTATGAGGATTGGTTGGTTAAGGATGTCTGTGAAGGTTCTCAGTCATCCAGGTCATAGTGATCTAAGGAGCTTGGAAAGAAAGCAACTGGACTTCTTTAAGTTTCTTGAAGACATTTCAACTCTTATCCGAGAAGCTTCTTCAGTTCTAAAACCAAATGATGGTTAGCCCCAGATTATTAGCCTTAGTGGGAGTTGGCCCTAATCAGGGTTGTTGACCCACTATTGATCATGTGCTTTATCACATGAGCCAAGATGTGAAAAGGGTGTGGAGTATTATTAGCAGAGGTTTCAGGTGAAACCATTGTGAGACCTTGCCTCACCCTATCATTTGAATTTTTGAGATCAGCAGACACAAGATCTGAGTGGACGCTAGGGCATCTGTGAAAGGATCTAAAAATTAGATTATAGATGGCAGGCAGCTGGTGTCGTAAGCCCTGCTCTCTGTTCAAAGATGATCGTTCACAGTGGGCATAGATGACTTCTTTCACTCCTCTTTCAAACCATCTGTCTTCTCTGTCCAAATTGTGAACACTGGCATTTTCAAAGAGTGACCTTTGTCCTTTAGATGCAGATGGACAGCTGAGTCTTGTGACTGTGTGGTTTTTCAAATGTAGAGGTCTGAGCCCTCGTCGCTGCATTGCATACTGTAGCGTTGTCATGTTGATAAAACCAGTCGCTACCACACAGATGAGGGCCCTCAGTCATGAGTGATGCTCTTTGCAACATCTGGACATAGCCAGCGGCTACTTGATGCCCCTGCACCTCCTGAAGCTCCATTGCTCAACTGAAGGTAATTATGGCATCCCCTCCACTGTGGAGCATAGAGAACATCTCAGATGGGATCTGCTTGTCATGCCAGTAACGTTGGAAACCATCAGAACCATCAAGGTTACATTTGTTCTCATTAGACAATAAAACTTTCTTCTACCTTTCAATGTCCCATGTTTGGTGCTCTCTTACAAAGTCCAAACGGTGAGTTCTGCAGCATTCAAGGAGACGAGGCCTTTGAAGACGTTTTTTGTTTTTAAGGCCCTTCAAGTCTCAGATGCCATCTGATAGTTATGGGCCGCAGTTGGCACCAGAAACGCCCTTAATTTGGGTTGAGGATTATCCAGTGTCTTGACGGAGAGCCAGTTGCATCCTCGGCTCTGTGCTGGTGAGATTTTTTTGGGTCTTCCTCTTGACTTTTGTGTTCCATAACCCTCAGGATCATTTAAGAAATTCCAAATGACTATCTTACTTCCCATCTCAGCAGCGATGGTGCGCTGAGAGAGACCCTGCTTTTGCAGTTCAACAACCCGACATTCAAAAAGGGAACATTTGTTTGCCATCAGAACGTCATGATAGTGTGACTACCTGACAGAAAATGACAACAAATCCACATTCTTGCACAGATTTGGCCTTTTAAAGCATGTGGTCCTAAACTTTTGATCTGCTGTAAAACAGCCTGTTTCACTCCCATTTCTTCTTGTTGCATGTTGAAGTTCTACTTGGAACCTTGTTAAGATCCAAACATTAAAAATATGAATCATTTTTCAACTGATCTTGAACTTTTGACCAGGACTGTATTAACAATTGAATCCATTGGCAACAACTCAAGGTTCAGTATCTTGCACATGAATGCTTGCAGACGGGAGCAGCCAACCTTCCTATTAGTATGTTTTGATGCATGCTCAATCATCCAGGTAAGGAAATCCCAATAACAATGATTCTGTTCATCTGGACGTAGCGTTTTGTTACCCATCTAAGTGACTTCTGCAGGTTGCCAATCTTATAAACAGGACATTTGCATAAGGACTGAAACCAGCCCACTAATTGAACAATGGGCTGTGAGGTCAGTTCCTTGATCATTAATATTCAAATTGCCATGACCACTGATCAATGGTCATGAGTACCATTGAGAGAGAGTTGGGCAATGGCTGCAATCACAGCATTGTAAGATCATGACAGATGGACCCTTAGGCCCCTCCTCCATTCAGAGATGGCCTTTCCCTTTTCACGTAAACGGCCTCCTTGACTCCAAACCAGCGTTCCTCCCTGTCCAGGATGTGTACATCCTCATCATTGAAAGAGTGTCCACTGGCCTGTAGGTGTAAATAGACTGCAGAGTCCTGACGAGGTAGCTCTTCTGTGTTCACCGATCAATAATCAGCGGTGTTAATGCCTTACAATTAAGCCATTAACTCCAATATTCCTCTGGTTCTCACTCTTCATCCCAAAATCTAACTACTCTCTGCCTCTGTTGAAGTGTCTCAAGTCAGTGATCCTGCACATCATGCCCACGTCCCAGTCTACACCCCCCCCGCCTTTTCATTGTTACTCTTGTGTTTACAATAAAACTCATGAAATCGATTACTGTCTTCTGTTTGGTGTCTCAGCGTTTGACACTAAACTAACCTCATGTGCAGTTTATGCTTCAGTTCTCTGCAGTGAAAGCTACTGAATGTATGAACAGTGGGGAAAAGTAACATCAACAGAAGTAGCTGAAGATGTTGCTAAAGCTGGAAGCAGTAATTATTACATCCATCCATCTTCATCTGCTTATCCAATTCAAAGTCATGTTGGTACTGGAACCTATGCCGGTGGCTAATTGTGTTATACATTTCCTTTGTTGTGGTTTTGCAATAATTCAGTCTTCTTTCCTTGTTTGGAGTCATGTTTTTCATGACTTTGTAAAGCTCTAATTTCTCTGTGGGTGCTAAAATACTTCTTTATCTAAAACATACGAGTTTTCCTTTTAATCAAAGCTTCAGTTTCAACTATTTGCCTGCATTCAGCTTTTCCTGCACAGACCTGCCAAGGGCCACAGGTCTAAGCTCCTTTATCATCAGTACTGTTAAAGTATGTGGACAGGCAGAAGTTACACAATGAAACTACAGATTACCACCGTATCCACTCAAGCTTTACTGTCAGCAGATGTGTTCCAGGGGATTGTCCGTTTCATCTACTTGTCACCAAAATGTAAAAATAATCACTTTGAGTCACTTCATCATGTGGAGGTCACACAGCATCTGGTGTACTTACTGGAGGTCCTGCAAGACAGAGGGAGAAAGAGAGAGTGCTAAGTTTTTATGCAACCATGACAAAGATTCTAGTTAACCCAACAATGGTGTGCAACCAAAATACGTTTCTTAGAGTTGAGTATGAGCAGTGGAGCAACAATGCACTTTTCATGGAAGACTCAAGGTAACTCAAGTAAAAATATCTTTCTGCAGTGGATTCACACTTCAGTGTTAAATCTGTGCCATAATCCTCAGCATGCATACAAGATGTGACTAAATGTCACTGTTCACACGCCAAGGTATACATGGTGACAATGGCATTAGCTCCTTGTGTTAGGGATCTCTAACCCTGTTTACGGAAACCTAGTGCATGTAATATAAAATACTCAAACATCAAGTGAATTTCTCATTGTCCACACATGGTAAAATTATTACGAAAATTCAACCCTTTCAGATTGTGCCAAGTTAATAAACTCGCATCACAGCCTGTCAGCTTTCAAACAGCCATAAAACAGGCTTTTCACAAAAACCGAATTATGTAGAAAGAGCCTGGGATCATTCAACAGAAACAGTTACGACCAAAACCAGACATAGGTCACTGAAGACGTCGTCATGACAGCCACAGCAAGATGAGGAAAACTCTCTGTGAAATGCAAATCCTCACTATTATTCAATCGATGTGCTCCTCAGACTACTCCATCCATACTTGGGTGCCTGCTGTCAGTGAAATTCAAATCCATACAAATTAAATACAATGGAAACAGACAGTTTAGGGTCTAAAATATACTGTTTATGTTGAGGAAATGATGACATTAAGTCACACCAGTTTACAGTTTGAAGCTCGCATAAGAAGATGTTGTTTAAAAGGTTCCCCACTATTTTCTGTTACCATTGTGGCAACACAGCATGCAGACTGGTAGCCACCCCAAAGCTAAGGCATTACAGCAATTTAAAAAGTCTTACTCTATCCTTCGCATGGCATCACAGTACACCACTCTCATTTTACACTGAATGTTTGGTCCACACAGGCAGCTTTATATTCTCACAGCTTTCACAAAGTCCTGTGTGTGTGTCTTCATCTAATTACAGGGACTACGTCAGAAAAATAATTGCATCTTTTCAGGGATGCAGAACAGACAGTGACAGCTCACTAATATCACAGCAAACACCGTCAGCAGGTCTACATTTAAAACTAAACATTGTACTAAATAGTGAATAACGTAAATGCTTTATGACTTTCTCCTATTACAGGGGTCTGACAGAATAAATGTTGCTAATTTGTTATTTGCTAAGTGAATAGGGTATTTTAAGAGACATAATTTTACATTTTTAAAAATTAGAGATATTTCATAAATCAACATCACATCATGTAATGTTGATTTATGAAATTTCATAACTTGAATTCCTACGATTTGATAAGATGATATTTGATTAATATTTTCTTTAGTTTTAAGTTAACTTCAGTTAAAACTGCATCATTTAGGGCCACAAAGAGCCAACTGTTGCATACTGTAAACACCCAGACCCTTTAAATTTAGAGGATTTTCTATTATGATATGAGATCTGGGTAATAAAGTCAAATTACGGCTGCTCCAGTCATTCCTACAATTGTGTTCCACATTTTTAAGGTTACCCTTTACCTCCCTCTCTCTATTTAAGGGTGTGGAAAGCAAACACGAAGGCAAGATTCTTGTTGCATTCTGGCCTGCCATCACATCCTGTTGGCTGGACCCACTCACCCAGGGGACATAGTGTAGAGCACCTTGATCCAAAGGCACTTTGAAAGGCCTGGGGAAGTGGGCTCAAATATAGCACATGAAGTGGCGCCCGTCAAATGAGCTCTGGGCACAACATGAAACAAAGTTTACAGTCATAAACAAACACACACACACACACACACACACACACACACACACACACACACACACAAAAAGTGGAATTTATTTGACTGCATTGATATCATATTCCAAGCCTTGTCCTCTGCTGGGTTTAATCCCAACTATTGCTAACACCTGTTGTTTATGCTTATGTAAAAGCAGTGGCAGTTAGCTATGGTCAGAAATAACGATCTAATATTGCCCACCAGCGTTCAGATTCACAGGTGTTTCCCTTTCAGTCATTTACTGAAAAGGAAGTCTTTCAAGTTCTTAAAGTAACTATGCAAAAATACTGAGACTCGCTGCTATAATAAGATTTAAAACCATTACAAATATTGCCCTTTGCGCCCTGGTGTTTAGTTTGAGAAAATGTGCATAATTCAACACTTTACCTTAATAAAATCCCTTTATTCTCAGTTTATTGTTGTTTGATAACAAGTAATATGATGACTCTCTGTCCCAGAATATTGACCCAAGAATAGCCTGTGCAGTTTCAGTTGTCTAAATATCCAGATCCAAAAACCCACTTCCACTCCTGATATACCCTGTAGATCCACTGTTTCTCCCGTCAAACCACACAGTAGCAGCCATTTTTTGTTGGGCACTTCCTTTGCTCTTTCCCAACATCTGGTTGCCTTTATTTTCACCAGCTTCACTGGTCGGTAACCTGGTGTGTCATGCACTATAATAATAAGATTTAAAACTATTACAAACTGGGGTCCTAATGAACTGTACTGTTGAGGATGTTGGTCTATGTTACTAAATCCCACTGACATCAAAGGTGAAACAAAGTGAAAAGCCTGTTTGTGTAATCACCCTCACAGCCAACCAATGATCACTCAACTACACATTTACAGATCTTTACATTTCTGCTTTGTTAATTCACTTTCATGCTTAAAGGATTTTCTGCAGCAGTTGTCTAAACAGTGAACGTCTGTCAGCCTAACTCAGTAAAACGACTCCATTTCTTTTGCACCTTTTTCTGAAATCCCTACAGCCCATACACCCCTGAACATTTGAGTCAAATCACAACTACACTTCCCTCAAAGTGTTTATCATGTGAGGGATATGCCCTACAATAATACATAGAAATCAACAACAACAAACCTATGACCTCCTTTGGTGAAAATGAGAAGAAAAAACTAGAAAATATGATAAAAAAGCAGAGCAAATGTTACTGTGTAACTAGTCTGTAACGAAAACATTAAAACAGAAGTAACCATCAGATTGTATTATGTGAAGCAAATGACACCCTCGCTTTTAACAGGACGAGACTCAACCTGGTATTTAATCCAGGAATTTACAGGCTCAGTGCAGCAGTGAGTCAAAGCAACAGACACTCTACAGACATTATTAAACAACAGTGTTTACGTCACCCCACTCTCAGGGATTACACCTTCTTTCACCAGCACACCACTCACATTCTCGCTTGGACTAAACTTGTAGTTAGTTCAGCCATCGTGCACCAGTGTCTATCTCTGTGAGTCACATCAGAGATTTAATACCTCTTTACTTAAAATCAAGAACTCTGTTAAGTGGGGGTTGTATTTAGA